GTCTTAATAAATTCCACAGTATACTTGATAGCCTATATTGTTGATGTTGTAGTCAATACTTTGTTGCTGGCAAAGCTAGCTGAACATTAGTGCCTTTATGCTTAGCTAGCCATGGGGCTGTCTTTGGAATATGCTTGATAATCACTTCTTATGACATCATTACAACATCCAAAGTGTACACCCAAAACTGATTTGAAGTCAGTTGAATGCTTTCTTACTGCTTTACTCTGCTGGGTTCATTGATCAAATTTTAAATGTATCATGTAATCACTTTAGTCTGATAAAGGTCTGTTCCTTGGTCAATTTCTTCCTTTAATTAAATCTTCAATAATCCTATGCAGATGCACACTATCCTGGATGAGATTATTTTTGGAGGTCAAGTGCTGGAAACAAGTTCAACAGAAGTTATGAAGGCAGTTGAAGAGATATCTAAGTGCTCTCTCTCTCCCTTAACTCTATGCTTATGCGTGAAGCATGCGAGTTTTCCCCCTTTTGAATTGTATTTATACTTATTAACAGACGATGCTTAACCATGATGTAGGTTAGAAGCTGCCTCAAATGCTATCACACTCATTCCGAAGTCTGCTTCTGGTTGGCGAAGTAGGTAGTTCTGCATTTAAATGCCGTTCAAACCAGTCCTCAATTATTTCTGGTCACTGTGAGTTGATAACTTGTGATTTTCACTGACTTGGGCTGGTGTTGTTGGTGAAAGTTTAAATGCTTTGAGTGAAGGGATCTGTTTTATATTGGTCCACATCACCAAAGTCAAGAGGTATTATTATATTTGATTAGTTATTTTTCTGCTTCATAGTGGGAAATAAATACATGTAACAAGCTGTTTTGCTCGCAATTTATAATATGCTTTTACTCTGAGATCTCAGCTAGGGTTTAACACTTGTACGAGCAGTGATTTCTGCTGCTATTATTTTTCCCTGGCATTTTGCTTTTAAAGTAAAGCACGCATCAGGTAGACTTTACCACCGTTTTCATGGGGGTCTGCGGTTTTCTTGAATGGTCCAGTTCTTTTGTTGTTTGAACACAGCCAATTCTTTCTATAATGCGTAGAATTACTGTAGGCTCTATCTATATATTAATCTGCGCAGCTTAGGTGTTGTTTGGCGGCCTTTAATCTTTATAAAATAAATTTCCGTTTCTAAAATTAAGATATTACTATATTTTTATTTGGTTTTATATTTACTATTAATAATATTGAACCATATCTATTTTTGACTCTTTGGAATTTAATATATGGATTTTATAAAGTAATAAATGTAATGTTTTCTTTTATTATAAATTTTAAAAGAATAAAATTCTGAAAATTTATAAAAATTAAAACAAAAATTTGAATAAAAATATAGTATATTAAGATTCCAATATTAATGTTTTGAAAATTATATTTAATCTGTTTTTAATTATAAATTATAGATAAGACCTAAAATTTAATTAACTTTGTTGCCGGTTTCTAATATAATTAATTTAATGATTTATTTAAAATAGTAATGGCATAAAGACATATATTAACATTATAATATTAAATCATTTTGAGTATTACATATAATTATCATAATTAACTGGTACCCTATATTTTATATACATGGTACTTTGATTGAATATAGTCTACGTAACTCCTATTATATTATTTCAACATCAAACATTATAAAGCAATATCGTTATATTGTTAAATAATTATTTAATTTTTAGTAAATTAAAATTTCAAATACTGTAATTATTAAATAAAATTTAATATCGAAACATAAATATAATAAAAATTATTAAAATATATTTTCCATAAATTAAAATTAATAATAAAAAATAATGATAATAATAAAAAATCAAATCGCAAATATTAAGTTGACTATTTATTTATTTAATATAATTATTTTATTATTTATTATATAAAATTGATTTTATAATTACTATTCAACAATTAATTAAATATGATATCAAAATTAGATTTATTTTAATTAGTAACTGCTATTATTGTTAATATTTGGATAATGATTTAATTGTTTATTAATATTGTTTTTTAATAATTAATATAATATTAGAAAATATTTTTAATTAATTAAAATTATTATTTTAATTTATATCATAATAAAAACAATCACTCTAGGATGTGAAAAATAGAACTGTTTGATTTAATAATTAATATCATAATTAATATTTATTGAATATTTTATTATTATTTAAAAATATAAAATTGATCGATTAAATTATTTCTTAAGTAATAATTGGATAATTCTTAATTGATGTTATAATTATTTTTTAATTATTTTTAATTATTAAATTGATATATGATATTATAATTATTTGTTAATTATATAAAAAATATAATCTGTAAAAATAAAATTGCTCTAATAATTAATAATTATTATGAGATTATATTATTAATTATTATTTATTTCTAATATAATTATTAATACATTATAATTACTATGTTAGTTATTTTTAAACTATTCTAATGACTGGATTAATTAATTGCTTTTACGATTTTAATATAACTTAATATAATTATATAATTTATTTTTAATTACTAAATTGTACTATTTAATATCTAGACTGATAAATTATTAGCTAATAAATTATATTAATTATTTTAATTAATAAACAGAACAGTATTATTTAATTTTTATTATCTAATATAATTATTAATGATGATATTTGTATAATAACTTAATTATAATGATATCAATATATTATTTCAAAATCTAGTTATGTCTATGTTTTATATTATTAAATATTCTATTTTAATAATTTTATATAATAGCAAAATAATATCAACATTTTAATAATAATAATAATAACAACAGTAATATTTAATTATTATTTTTATTATATAATATAATTATTGATGTCTATTTTTTATTAACTTAATTATAATAATTTTAATATATTATTTCAATATCTAGGTATATCTATCTTTTATATTATTAAATGCTCTATTTTAATAATTTTATATAACAATAAAATATATCAATTTTTTATAATAATATTAAATATATTATTTCAATATCTAGTTATTTCTATGTTTTATATTGTTAAATACTCTATTTTAATAATTTTATATAAAAGCAAAATAATAATAAAAATGACATGAAGGACGTACATTTAATTCAACATCATGATTCAGATAAAGAGCCGCTCTGAATTTCGACCAAAGGATATATTTGCCAGAGATTAAAGAAAAGGCAGAGCTTGGTTTTCCGAGCATCAATTGGATTTTTTCTTGAAATCTTGAAGGACTAGCTGTGCTGCATTGCGGCCCGGTGCACCCATCACACCGCCCCCAGGATGAGCACCACTACCACACAAGTAAAGGCCTGGCAACGGGGTCCTATAATTTGACCTGCATCCGCAAGTTTGGATAATAATAATAATATATTACAAGAAATTGTGATTAAATTTATAAATGCAGTCACTCTTGTAAAGAAAAAGGCAAAAGAAGCAATCAGATTTGTTTGGTATATATATAAGAATACTAATTTCATTGAATATTTTTTATCAATTTATTTTTATATTTTTAAATTACAATCATATTAAACATTTACATTTATATAATTGTTATTTAAATAAAAATAGAATGTACAGTATTAAAAAATTGTAGATAAATTAAAACATGTACTCATTCTTGCAAGGGAAAAAGGAAAAGAGAAGCAATCGGATTTACCATCCTTTAACAGGTCGCATGAGAAAGAGAGAATCTAATCCCATTGCACCATGAAAGATATTTCCTCCTGCAAACAATGGAAGCTATCGACTAAAATTTAATGCTTTCAGTATAAAATATATATAGTAAATTGTACATACAATTAATACCACTGTGCTTCGATAAAATAAAAAAATGGGAGGAAAAGGTGGAGTTTGATGGAGAAGGGTAATTAAAAATTGCCTGAAAATTTGCTTGCTGCAATTATAATAGTAAGAAGATATGCTTGAAAGGGAGTTCGTTATGAGTAAAAAAGGATTTTCTAATGAATAAAGGCAGGGAGTCTAGGTTTGAAAACCATTTTTAATTCATCGAAAGAAATACTTTCAGTTTGGAGATAAAATGCTCATCAGAATTGTCGGATTAACGCACAGAAGTATTCCTAACCTGTCAAGCCTATTTCCCTTTCAAGGTCAGGAGGAGTTAGCATGTCGTAGCCAACGATAGATGAGCTGAACTCCGGAGCATATTCATCAATCAAGGTGAAACATCTTTGTGCAAATGATTCCTACAATATAAGAATGATTAATAATAGAGCAATGATAATAAGAGTTAGTATTTGGAAAAATCTCAATGATTTTGCATTCTAATTAAGCTTGGAAGTGGAAGAAACTTGGATCAAATTCTACTCACCCTGTAAGCAGGATCATCCCAGCTGCCATCTGATGGTTTATAAGGCATGTATTGGATGAACAAGTTCATGACATGCTTACCTATGAATACATGCAAGATTTTGTCAATAGTTTTAAGCAATAAATCTCATATAGATGCCCATTATCCTAGTTTGCTTATCTAGAAAAAGTATCAAAACATATTCAAATTACTTCAAATTTTGTGTACTTGATTTATGTAACAAGGTCTTTTAATCTATCAGTTCGGATTTTCAAATTTTAATTTTTATTTGATCGTTTTTAAAGAAGAACCTCACAAACTTAATCTATAGAATCATACGTAAGTTCTGCCCAAACTAAACATACTGTATAAATTCCTGAATAGCCATCATGCAAATTTACTTCACTGACAAGTTTCAGTAGCTCAATCTGAACCATTTTATTTTCTCTACTAGCCCTTAAAAAAATAGTCAGGTCAACCTCGTGAGGAGAATTTGCTTCAAGGGAATATTCATTATATATGTTTATGAGAGGGAAAAGTAACCAAATGCTATCATTTCAAATCCTTAAAATGGTATATTTCTAAGATTTCACCATGATTTGCATATGAACGTGATAAACCAGCACAACCAACATTACAAAAAAGAGTGATAGTGGTACATAATAAAAAATTTTATATATGAACATAATAAAATTTTTAAAATGAATTATCATAAAATTAAAATTGATAATTAAAATAAGAAGAAGAAGAAAAGGATGCAATAATATGCAGATAAAAGGATGCCGAAATTGGGTACCAGGCGGAGAAATTGTCTTGTCCAGTACGGATGGAATTGTCATTTCAATGACAGGCCTTCTTGATGGTAATCCATTGACTGCATCTTGACAGGCTGAATCAATCTCCTCCATGCTGAATAAAAGTAGGCATAGGATATCTTCAAACTTGGGTTGTAAAAGAAGAGAAGATATGGTGAATGGAATGCTAAGAAGTGTGACAATTGCCAGATTTATAAGTTTGGTGATCCAGTTTAGAAGTGACTAACAGATGTGCATTATCAGACAATACATATGAAATCTAAGGATGATTTTAAGCTAGTGAGATGGAATAGCATTTTAGATCATGATGCCAAGTGATCAACTTAATGTTATTGTTACCACTTCTTTGATCATGGTATCTCTATCTGCAATCTATCTACCTTCTATTGTTCTGTGTCAATACTAGATTATTATCATCTGCCTTTCCATTGTCCACTTTAACATTAAAACAGTTTGCGAGCTGTAACTGAAAAGGTTAACGTATCATTCCTTTGTCCTGATTAAAACCACAATTTTTAATCTTTCTAAAAGAAGCCACATTTGTGACATGCATCTATACGGCAGTCAGCCTGGCTTTCAAAAGTAAATTGAGTTCCTAGTTCGAGGAAAAATACTTCAAAGTTATTGATTTAAGTAAGTAGTTACATTGGATGGACCATTTAAAAACATGGGTAAAGAGTGGCACCATACCTCTCAGAACCAATATGAATGGTACCAGTGTGCTGAGGACCTGAACCAGGATAATTTGACTTGCAACAGTGAAACTCAGGCAATTTATCAACAGCTAGGTTTATTTTTGTAGTTCCCTGTTTCAGTAAATGATATCTAAAAATGTTTAGCACCAGGCAGTATGACTAAATTTTGCAACTATTGCTCCCCGTCCCCATTTAGAAATTGTCAGAAGCAAGAACTCACGATACTATTATGGTTTCTGAGGATAATCACAATGACTTTCACAATTATGGAGTCGCACATTGTAAACATTCTTTGTCAGCAGACTATATTGATCTTACAGCGTATCCATGCTAGCTAAATATAAAAAATGTAACTGTATAGCTGATTTCTTTTTTGGCCGGCAGTTGTATAGCTGACTAAGTAAGAAGAAAAACCAAATTAAAAAAGTTGTGTAGAATAAAAGAAAATAAGAGAGGCTCTTACAGAGCTGTAATCAGAATACTTAATGGCATGAATGAAATCATCAGGAAGAACATTATCAGGCACCAATTCCTGTGACAGAAATTAAAGCATAGCCAATGATCAAATAAAAGTACATTGAAAGCACAAGTTAATTAGCTAAACACACAAGCTGCTTCCTGTTTTTTGCTGAAAACACTAGTTTTCTGCTTCTTCCAGCAACACAATTGAACAAATTGCAGTAAAATTTTACCATGAAAGTTTTATAAGGGGTTGCATTTGACAAAATGCTTGAAGACTGCACCAGTGTACCATCAGCCAGCAGCACCTAAACAATGTTATCCATGTTTACGACATGTAATTAGTTTAATTCAATATTAAAGATCTGCTGAATTGCAGAAACACAGATAGTAAAACTAACCCCATTCACTTTGCCTGAATCCTCAACTATCAGCTGTGAAACCTTGACAATATAATAACCAGTAAAGTGAGGGTGAGAATGAAGCATAAATTTGTCCTGGCTATTATCAATTAGTCAAGATAATACGGACTATATTTCAAGTTTACACCCATAATTAACATCATTGTCTCACCATGCATTCTGCTTAAGAAGTATAAACATCAAAAAGAAACTAAAGAAGTTACAAAGGAAAAAGAAATCCTCTGCAAACTGCATTATCTCATTATTGGGATTTGTTAGATAGTAACCAATTCCCAGGTCTTTTGCTTCATATGGATGCAGTGCAAGGAGAAATGAATTTGACCAAGACAGCAATTTAGCATGAAAAAAAACAAGAATTATGTCATGCAATCAAATAAGACATCAAAATAGAACTTCATAAGTTCCATTCAGTCATAAGGAGGAAGGTGAATGATGAAAGCTAGAGAAATGATTCAGACAATTATACCTCTGCACTTGTGACAATATGAGCCCCAGCTTCCTTGGCAGCATTGCCAATAGCCATAGAGACTGACCCCATTCCACCTTCAACGTATCTACAAATTTGTTAGTTTTTGAATGCTGATACCTTAAGCGAGATTTGATCATGATATAGTACATTAGCATAATGTACTAGTAATTTTTAATATTTTAATAAATTTTTTTAATTTAAATGGGTGGACTAGATTCGGATCTAGATGTAAAAAGTATCAACCAGATCCAGTCTGGCCCATGCACACATCTACCTGATAACAATACAGTCATATTCTAAAGAATAGGAGAAGGATAATGGACCAAGGCTTGCTACTTAAAATACAAATCCAGCAATAGTATACGTACGACCAAATTCCACGATCACCATCCGTTTCTCCCATTACGTGATGTAGCAGAACATATCCACTTCCTGGTGTGCGGACACTAGCCTACAATACCAATTGAAGGAGAAGAAGCCAAATGATCTACTAATGTTTGCAAGGTAACCAAAGAAAAAACACTGTTCATTTATTCATGTTTCAAAACCATATTGACAATGACCACTACAATATCAGTCTTCTTCTTAAAATAAAAACTGCCTGGAAAGTTCAAAGCACATTAAGGTATAAAATATGTGCCTTTATGCATGACTGAATCTCAAAACTGATGCATCTTCCTACTTTTTAATAATAAAAGTTCTTACCGTACTCCCTATCACAGCATCTGTTGCAAGAGTTGCCTTCAGAACATCTGTCTGTGCATGTCACAGCCAACAATAAAACTGTAAACTGATCAATATAAATCTCTCTTTTTTATCAACACATCTCTTTTTTGAAGTAAGATCTAAAACCACAATTTTAGGAAAAGCTGTAAAAACATGAATCTCACTCAAAACTCCAAATCCATGCCCTGTCGTCTTAGATGATAAACTTTTGCATGACTTCAGAAAATTTTTGATGAGTTGGCATAAACTGTTGCAAATAGATAATGTGTAATCCTATAGCTACTACAGAGAAAGAGAATGAACATGCAACCCATCTTGAAATTTGTCCAAGTTATCTGGTTTGAGACAAGGGAACATATTCACAAAACAAAACTAAGCTGAAGTCACCATAACTCAACTTCACTTATGCCATATGCAAGGGAAAAAAACACTTCAGCTCATTGCAATCTATGAAGTTACAAGGATAATACAAAAGGGGAATTAAAGGATCAAACAACAACCTCAAACCAGTTATTCAAAACCTTTGAAGCCGGGGACAATAAAAGATCCATAAAATCCCTGTCAAAATATATAAATAGACATGATGTGAGGCTTAATTAGACTGGAATGGACTGGCTTACTTCACGATTGTAATGTGTAAGCACCTCAAGCTAGTTAGTTAATTACTTGACTGAAGAAAGTATCCCTATCAGTCAGTTTCTGGCTACTTTCTATTAGCAAATAACGTGAAGCAACATCCTCAACATCAGAATTCAGAAACTACTTCAACTTAAGGAAAGGAACTCTTACACCATATCTTTCTGCCCCAAGGAAGCAGCCTGGCGCAGCAATCGAATCCAAAAGGCTGAGTTGTGTACCTTATTTTTGAATCGATATTGGAGAGATGAGATACCTTGCAAAGTTTCAGGAGGTGGTGAATCCAAAAGTGGATCCATGAGTTTACAGAACCTCTCTAACTGACTCTCATATCTGTAAATTAGGATTACAATTGCATGAAATCATTAAAAGGAATTATTAAACGGAGTACAAAGAAAAATGACATAATCAAGCTTATTAAAACTCAAAAATCAGTAAAACAGATTATTGTAAAAGAAAGGAAAAACGAAAAAACAGAGCTCGTTGTTCAAATTATCATTAAAAATTTATCTCAAAATTCACAATAATCTTGTTTTTCATGCAAGAAATGATATCACATACATACACACATATGAGCAGAGGATTCAAAATTTAAAAGGAAAATCAATCGGATTAAAAGAAGATTAGAATAGATAAGTACCTTGGATAAGCATCGGCATCTCGTTTGGAGAACTTGGAGATCTCAGATTGATTAAGCTCTTTATCAGGCCCTAACAAAAGATATCTTCCATCCAAACAAGGAGTAAACGACGATGGATTCCTTTTCAACAACTTCAATCCATGTCTTGCTAACTCTAGTTCTCTAACAAACTCGAGAAAACAAAGATATTATAAGGTCGACGCATTTAATCTAAATAACCAAAAAAAAAAGTTCAAAAATTATTAAAATAGTATGAAATGGTAGACATGCTTTGAAAACCTGATGATGGAGGGGCGGAGGAGGCTCTGGAGGTAACTGCATCGGGAGAACTTGAAGCCAGGGATCAGTTCTTCGGTAACTGCCGCTCCACCGATGACGTGGCGTCGCTCGAGCACGACCACGGAGAGTCCACTCCGAGCTAAGTAAGCCGCCGCAGTCAAGCCGTTGTGGCCACCTCCGATTACGAGCGCGTCCCATTTTTTTTCCTTCAGCGTGTTCATGGAGCTCACGTGACTGCAGGTGCTGAAGCTCCTTCGCCACATTGCTCTGAGTGAGCTTGCTTTCAGGTTATTGATTGGCAGAAAATAACTAAGAGAGAGAATTTGAAATTTTGTAATGAAAAACGATAGTGGAGCAAATGCTGGTTTGGTTGGAGTTTTAACCAAATATTGTGATTTGAAAACTTATTTCTTAATCTTAGCTTGCTCGTCACATCATCATCATCGCCACGTCATATTTTTTATTTATTTAAAATATTAAAAAATTTAAAAAGGGTAAAAATCCCGTCTGAACACTGAAAGACTGTTTGTCGTAAGCACATTCAGTTTTGCTTATTTTGTTCTGATAACTACAAAAAATTTGAGGCTCGTGAACGTAAACTTTGGTTTTAAAAAAAAAACACCTCGATTTTGTTGCGTTGTTGGGCGAGGTTGTTAAAGCGTAAATACAAGTGGGACCTAGGGAAAGGAATCAAGACAAAGGAATGCACATCGGTCATCGGGGTCGCAAGTTGATTCATAGCAATGATAGTATTCCTTCAAGTATAGGTCAGGTGACACGTGGGTTCGGCCTTGGCCCGCGGGCACAATGGAATACTGGTGTCCGGTGCTATGGCTAAACTCCGCAATTTGTTAACAATTCGAAAAACCAGTAGTAGACGCTAGTGGCCGTACGATCTGAGATGCTGTGGCGCGAAGACAAAATCAGCAGGCCCAGTCCAAAGTAGAAAAAACGAAAAGGCATAACGTTCATCAAAAGATAGGTGTCCGTCAGAGATTGGCAAAATATGTGAGGCGAAGATATATTAATGCAGAAGCCATAAGGAGAATGAGCAAGAAATGTTAAGCTTTAATTTAGCTTTTCATTTAAGTTTGAGACTATAAGCACCCGGAAAAAGTTAGAGCATAACAAAATTCCTAAGAAGAATGCTTCTTAAAATCCCTAAGGACAATGCGTGCAGCATTACGTCCGGGTGCACCCATCACTCCACCTCCAGGATGCGCTCCACTTCCACAGAGATATAGCCCTCTTATGGGTGTCCTGTAACCAGACCTGTAAGTAGAGAAAGTAAAGCTTTCTTTCTTGTTACAAAGTTTTAAACATGAACAAGACGTTGATGTATCCGAAATCAAACGAATTTTCTGCCGTTGAATCATTTAATATGATAAATACTTTCAATTGTTAAAGAATTACCATCCTTTCGCAGGTCTCAGCAAGAAGAGTGAGTCCAATCCCATGGCTCCATGGAAAATGTTTCCTCCTGCCATGCATACATAAAAGGATAAAGAAAATTCAACATTTATATCTAGAGTCAACAAATGATCTATATCCCAATTCATTTTTATCTTCCAGGTCCAAAGAAAAATGAGATTGTTGCTAAAAGAGGTATACATGTTTACTTTGTCAGTTCTCAATGTACATCAGGAAGAGTTCAATGGTGTAACATACCTGTTAGACCAAATTCTCTTTCAAGATCAGGTGGTGTCAGCATGTCATAACCAATAACCGATGAGCTGAAGCCAGGAGCATATTCATCAATCAAGCTAAAGCATCTCTGTGCATATGATTCCTACCAGGACAGCAATAATTTAGCTATTGTAAAATTAACATGTGAACAAAGATACTGTTACTAATAACGGCAACTTACTCGGTATGTAGGATTTTCCCAACTACCATCGGAGGGTTTATAAGGCGTGTATTGGGTGAACAAGCTAACCACATGCTTTCCTACACAGATATGCACCAATCTTAATGACAAAGCAACATGTGGATATAAAATAACTCAAGCTGAGAAGAGAGAGAATTATCTATGATAACATTAAATTCTTTATCAACTGATAATCGTACGTTGTCCCTCTCCAATAAGCTCCCCCTTGCAGGTTGAACCCACCAAAGAAAGAAAGAACGAAAGAAAAGTGTTTAGTTCACCTTAGGATTTCTAGTAAAAGAAAAGAAGACTGGAATCTATCAATTCATAGAATGTTTTGTTCAAAATTAACTTCACTATGGGGATAAACACCACAAGATTATTTTTGAAATAACCATTTCTCCTTGCATTTCTGTCGGGTTCACCTTAGGATTGATTACCCCTACTTTGTTTTGATCCTCATTGTTCCTTGTATCTCAGAGAGATATGCTTCCCTCCATATGCATTATAATGAATAAGTCAGAAGAATAGAGAATGAAGCAGTGTATTTAAGCTTAAGAAGTTGACAATGATTAGAAATTTTGGGAAAAACATACCTTTTGAATAGCAGCATGATTCAAAGACAAAATCATTAAAAAAAAATTGAATACATCATGAATGGAGAGAGGCATAAGGAAGATTGACTTCACTCTACCAGGAGGAGAAATAGTCTTGTCCAGTGAAGAAGGAATTGTCATCTCCATAACAGGCCGTTTTGAAGGTAAGCCATTCCAAGCATCCTGACAAGCTGATCCTATCTCCTCCATGCTTTTATGGTGCCAAATGAAACAATGGAGTCAGAAAAGAGGAAGAGGAAGAAGTTGTACCATTATAACGTGTAATCCTCTATATGTCAACATAACATTTAAAAAATCATATAAAGCTCCAACATGAGAACAAGTGGATGGACAATAATAAGAATGTTTAGCCTTTTTAACAATTGTTTAATGCAGCTGTATACGAATCATTACCAGTCCTTAAGATGACAAAGGCAGTGTAAAATGATACTATTTAATATCTAACCAAAGTGGACCTGATACAAGCATTATTATCACTGCTACAAACTCAATCCATGTTATTGACAGCTAAATAGCAGAAGCTTCAGGAAGCTGTCAAACTAATGAGAACATCTTTTATGTGCTTGTTTCAAAGAGATAATAGAACAAAAATTGCCCACCATAAGAGTATGTCAGGCATATGCAGCCCCACTTTTTTCGTTAAAGAACTGACTGTTTACATTTTAGTATACCTTTCAGAACCAATGTGAATAGTAGCTGTATGCTGAGGACCCCCTTCTGGATTATTTGATCTGCAACAATGGAACTGGGGCAATTTATCAACAGCTACATTGATTTTTGTGGTTCCCTGTTCCAATCAGTGATTAGTACATCTAGATTCTTGAATAACTTCCAAATATAGAAACTAGTAAACTGTGCACCAAGGAAGCCTTGCCAGAGTAAGTTCTTTTGCTCACTTTCATTCAGAAATCACTGTGGAACTAGCCAACTAGTACAAGCAAACAGAAAGATGGACAACACATTTCAGATACTACAACTCAAACCCTTTCAAATCCCAATAGTTATCCCTTTCTTCTTCTCTGGAATTTTTTTTTCTTGGGGTAGAGGTTAGGACATGTCTCATTTTCTCCGTAAACCTCCCTCAAGCTGTTTTCAGCACTCAGAAGCAGGAGGTCTATATATATTTGTTGATATATCATCCTGACAGTTTAATGCTTCAACAATGTGGACGACAAAGTACGACTCAATATCTTTTTCCTTTTTTTAATTTCATTAAGAAAATAATTTAAAGTAACCAATATAGAGTGAAACACCCATAACATGGTCTTCCAAAGCATAAAATGGGAATGAACAACAATCCTCAAAATAAAAAAAAAAAAGGAAATATGACAAATTTATGTTAAATGCTTTAGTATGCAAAGGTAGATATAAGATTTACTCTGAATTATGAAATTACGGCAGATATAAGATTGACAATCTGAGGGGTTAAATAATAAAACAAATCAAGCAGAATCCTTAATAAATGAAATCTTTGACAGCATTTGGGCTTGAAAGTTGGCACTGGTAGTTGCAGCCAATAATTCAAAATTTGAACTAGTTTTACCCACTCTTTGTTTCTTCCCCCAATGAAATATGAGGATGAATGTAGGTTCAGCTAAAGCTGTTCGTGAAGTAATCTTACAGAGTTGTAGTCAGAGTACTTGATAGCACGGAGAAAATCATCAGGAAGAACATCTTGAGGCACCAATCCCTGCATCAAAAAGACGCAGCTTTTCTTGAAAAGAAAACTTCATAGAAAAAGCAAGTAGAAAAAAAATTTGATATGAATCTTCCTCTTCGTTTTATCAATATAATTCTCCATAGTCATCTTTTCTTAACATATCATATTCCATCAATACTTCTCCAGTTCATGAAACAGACATGGAGACATGTTAACATTAGAAAATCATACCAGGAAGGTCTTGTAAGGGGTTGCATTCGATAGAACAACTGAAGAATGTACTCTTGTCCCATCAGCTAGCAACACCTAGATTATCAATATGGTAATTAGTAATCTACTTACTAATAAACACTTCCAGATTTATCCGTTGTGTCAGTCCAAGAAGTGAACTAACCCCTTTTACTGTACCAGAATCTCCAATCATTAATTGTGACACCTGTACAGCAAGATGAAAAATTGAAAACCAGTAAGAAATATAAAACTTGATTGAACAAGCTAATTTGTTTATTGATAATAATACATTAGAGAAGTTTACAGAAATTAAAAAAAAAAAAAAACAACAACAACATTATTTAGAAATTTTCTTAGGTCATAGCATCACAAATTCCAACTTTCTGATGCAATGAAAGAAGGGCAGACATACTTCTGCATTTGTCACAATAGAAACCCCAGCTTCGCTTGCAGCATTACTTATGGCCATGGATATAGAGCCCATCCCACCTTCAACATGCCTACAGCACGTGTTGAGTGCATTGGGTTAAGCCCATTCTACTGTGAGTAGGACATAAAACCTGGAGACTTTCTTCGATAGCATTCCAACATTTACCATCAACAGGAAAGAGTTTTGTTATAAATCTAAATGGTATCTTGCAAAACAATGTCCTCAATCAGGCATTCTACCATAGAATATCAAATCCATGAGTGTACCGATGACAAAAGAAGCAATTTTATTGCACAAATCAAAAGGTAGTGAGAATTCAATTAACACAAGCTTGGTGTAATTGCTAGTCTTTCCATTTTCTTAGACGATCAAATTGATCATCCCATCTACTGATTAAAATTTCCCTCTGAGATACTTACGACCATATATTACGATCACCATCAGTTTCACCCATCACATGATGTAGTAGAACATATCCACTGCCAGGTGTATGAATGCTGGCCTACAGGAAATAATTGAAAACACAAACACCAATCATTAATGCCAAAGGTTACTAGCACGGAGCATGCTATCATGCATTCAAAAGCCCCTTTCAAAAGAAAGTGGAAATCCTAGGGACTAAATCTAATATAGATATTAAATTCATTTTTATATTTTTCTAACATTATCTGTCTTACCATTAATAAGTATGGAGGTCTTACCATACTTCCAATAATGGCATCTCCAGCAAGTACTGCCTTCAGTATATCACTCTGCAAAAACCCAACAACCCATAAAAATAATTTTTGGCACCAAATTTAGGTTCCTCGATCAAGAAACTATTAGTCAATCACTTAGCTCAGTTATGTAAAATTATGAATTGATAACTCATACGTTAATTAAGGACATTAGCCATGTAGATTGCTAGTTATCACAACTTCAAAGGTATGCATATACCATTTAATTATATTAGGACTAGGTGAAGAGCATTAAAGAAAAAATCAAAGTTGTGGTCATAACCAACCAATGCAGGAGTAGCGATTGGGTTGGCTGGTCAAGGTTATTCTGAACCCAGCAATTGATTGCATTCAAGCCATCAACTACCCAAAAGCACCAAAACAGATTGAGATCATAACTTGAACTAACTAGAAGCTTGGAGTAAGCACACACGGAATTTGACAAACAATCAAGCATTAAGCAGGAAATAAGGCTAATTTAACCATCTCAAGAATTAAGCACAAATTTTAAAAACAATCAGGGTGCACAAACATCTCTCTTTAAGTAAAAGAAAGCAACTAAGACAATTACAACCTCGAACCACTTATTTAGAACCTTTGATGTAGGGGACAATAAAAGGTCCATAAAATCCCTGCCAAACATTAGACCATAAATTAAGAAACTAAAAGAAAATATGAGAAAACTACCATCTATAGGTATCCATGAGAAGAATATGACTTACACCACATCCTTTTGCCCCAAAGCTAAAATATGCCTCAGGCAGGAAGCCCAAAACACTGATTTCTCTAACTTATCCCGCAGACGATCAATAAATGATGAATCCCAGTGCAAGGTTTCAGGGGTACGTGAATCCAAAAGAAAGTCCATCAATTTAGAGAACTTATATAGCTGATTTTCATATCTGCTGACAAGAAAAAATTTGCTTTAGAAGCCCTGAGCAAAACAGATATGACATTGGTACATTTCAAACTTTCAGTAAATCGGGAAACTCATAAAACTGAAAACTAGTGAACTTGACATAGCGAAGGCTAATCGTCAACATGTTTTGAGGCTCAAAATGAAAATGTACTAAGCAATTTACATTTATTTTCCAAGAAGTTTAAAGCTGAATTTAATGGGAGAAATTGGAAAACGAAAGCAAAAAAGAAAAAGAAAAGAAGGAACACCTGGGATAAGCGTCCGCGTCACGTTTCGAAAACTTTGATATCTCCAAGTAGTTATGATGATCATCGTACCCCATTAGAAGGTAACGCCCATCAAGACATGGCGTAAACGACGTCGCTGTCGGCTTCAACAACTTCAAGCCATGCCTCTTTAATTCTAGCTCTCTTCAATTTCAATGACATAGCATAACATAAATTAACGCAAAAAAATCAATACAAATTTTTTCTTGTTTCTAATTTTCAAAGAGGGAAAAGAAAAAAAGTGGTCAACCTGATAACGGAGGGGCGGAGGAGGCTTTGGAGGTAGCTGCAGCGAGAGAATTTGAAGCCAGGAATAATTTCTTCGGTTACGGCTGCACCACCGATGACGTGGCGTCGCTCGATCACGGCAACGGATAAGCCGCCACGAGCCAAGTAAGCCGCGGCTGTCAAGCCATTATGCCCACCGCCGATCACCAATGCGTCCCATTTCTTCTCCTTTAGTGCTTGCGCAGGGGGTGTGTAGCTGCTGGTAAAGCCTCTTCGCCACATTTCCGAAACCGCTGGCTTCGGAACTCCCGCAGAAACTGTTTTGGTGTTGTAGGAAGGATCCGTTACTTTCTTTTTGACTGAAAATGTTTTTCAAAAAATATTTTCAGGATTTATATTTGTTTACAAAATAAAAAATTTATTTTAAATATAAATATTTAACGTGTCATCTAATGTTTTAGGCCTCTACAGGATGTATGATATTTTTCAAAAAATAAACAAATTGTTATATTAAATTTAAAAATATAAATTTAATGAATATTAATATTTAATTTAAATATTAAAAATTAAAAATATATTAATATTTAAATTATAAATTTTTTCAGTTAAAATATTACTATTTAAATTATTTAATATTATTTAAATTAAAATTTTTTTAATAAAACTATTCAATTTAATTAAATTTTTATTTATAAACTAAATAAATCTTATTTAATAATGATAATAAAATCAATAATTATTATTTGATGAATACAATAAATATTGATTTTTTTAGAGAGAATATACATAAATATAGATTTTAAATGTCTTACATAATTAATAAATATTGATGTTTTTATAATAAATACATATAAATATGAATTTTAGATGCTATATGTAATTAATAAATATTAATTTTTTTATAATGTTATAGTAAAAAGGTGAAAAGATAGAAAATTTTGTAAAATTGAGAACTTACTTTAATTGTAAACTAGTATTGTATAAGATTTAGGGTAGTATTAATAATTATATTACACTAATCCCTAAATAAAATACTCAAATACAAACATACTTAACTGATATTTATAAACATCAGTTAACCAAATACAAACAACTTAATTCCTATAAACTATTTTTGATTCAAAAGAAGATAATTTACCAAAAAAAGCATTGGGTTCTATCTAAAGCATATGATGAAAATACTTATTCAAGAAAAGCATTGGGTTCTATTTGAAGTATATGATGAAAATACTACTATTTTAATCTTATTGGTCAACAATAATGGACAGTGCTAAGCCTATAACCCACTAAATATAGTTTCACAAGTTATTAAAAAAAAATCTTAATTGAGGCAAAACGTAAAGATGTAATCTATTGTTTATAACTTCATGATCGAAGATAAGGCAATAGAATTGATAGTGAAATTTATGAACTTAAGAAGAATTGATAAAGGAATTGTACTAAGAAATAGAAAAATTCAAAGATGAAAAACAAGCGTGAGGAACTCAAATCCATACGTTTAGAGAGAAAGTTCAAAAAGATCAAACTCATGTCTGAAAGCCTCTAAACTCAACCAATCCACATATCAATGAATTACAGTTACGCACGGCATAAAATTATCACTTCACATAATATGAAGATAAAGTATTGATTTCCTTTATATATAATTATAGAAATGAGATTAAATATTTCAAAAAATATTATTATTTATTTTACTTATTTTTATAGATATTTTTTATTTTGATTTTAAATTAGTGAAAATTAAATGGCATCATTACTTTGTAATCAATTTTTATTTATTATCTTAATACTTAAATGGTGAACAATATTTATCACAAGATAATAATTCAAATAATAAAAAATATTTTTGATAATTTATTCAAAAAAATAAAATATATCAACTTTTTTTATAAAATATTTTACAATGAAAAAACTTTTTCCCAATAAATTAGTTTTCGATTATTAAACAGATCTAAACATCAATTCTTTCTACTACAAGGAATCTTGAAGTTGAAGCGAGACGCTTACCACACCCTTTGGAGGATAGTTGAAAACAATTGTTTTGCAATTTACGCCTTAGGAAAATATAGTTGTGGCTTTTGACATAATTATGGTCCTATGGTCTAGTGGTCAGGACATCGGACAGTAACCCAAGTTCAAATGTCGGTGTGACCTTTACTGGAGACCTGGAAATTAATGTTCACTGCTTTTAGTCCATAAATTTTTTGGAAAAGAAAAATTAAACTAGGAGACGTAGAAATTAATGTTCACTGCATTTAGTCCATAAATTTTTTGAAAAAGAAAAATTAAATTTACCAGTCAAACTTTGTAGTTAGAAATTGATACATGAATACCTTGACAGCCTTATCTTCCTCACCATCATCTCAAAGTTTTTAAACTTCTCTCTTTCTTTGGATGACGGAGACCTGGAAATTAATATTCACTGCATTTAGTCCATAAATTTTTTGGAAAAGAAAAATTCGACTTAGCAGTCAAATTTTGTTGTTAGAAATTGATACATGAAATACCTTGACAACCTTATCTTCCTCACCATCATATCATAGTTTTTAAACTTCTCTCTTTCTTTGGATGAGGCCACCCATCTCATTCAAGGACTAGTACAAACTCAAAAAGAGATTTGGAAATTAATGTTCACTGCATTTAGTCAATAAAGAATATATATCAACTTGACAGAAATAAAAAATTAATAACTGAAGAATGAGATGGTGTGATGTTTAGCCAATTTCTTAAGGCTCTAGAAATTTTGAGTGATTTTGAACTAATAAAAAAAAGGTCGTAAGAGTGGATCTGACAAAGCAATATCCACAGCTCTACATGGATCTGGATCTTTCTTGTTTTTGTTATTGGCTTGGCCCATGGTCAGTGTTGCTCAACGCTAAAGATTCCAAGATTGGGTTAGAGATCAAACCCCTAACCCCTCCTTAGATTTCACTAGTTTAAGGGCTTGTAGCTCATTGTTACTCTACTACTATTTGACCATTTGGGCATCTTGTCCCCTTCATAATAAAAGAGGAACTGTTAGGAAACAAACCGGAAAATGATCCTCAAGGGTTGCTATAATTAATTAAAGATACATATGCAGAAAAACATCCAAATTCTTGGCTATTTCTGGTATGCACTATTACAAAAGTTTCAACTTTCAAGAATACTCACACAGCTTTCAGCATAATTTTCCACTTTTCCCTCCTCCTTTCTTTGAAGAATGGAGTGGGTTTTGGAACTTAGCTAACCTTCTTTATTAACCTATTAACCTTAGATTGATAATTAGGTATGGAGGGGGAAGACAAGTTCAAAATTGACTAGGTATAATTATTATATATAATGTGTTAATAGGTCTGTAGGTTCATTTCTTTCAAGAATGTTAAATGCATTTATCTATTAAGAAATCCCACATGCTGAATTGATTATCACAACATCGTACTTACAATTTGATAAATTATACCTTAAATGTCTAGACTTAAAAAAGAAGAAATTGACCATCCTTGGAAATGTTGATCCGTAACCTCTCTCTGTCTCTCACTTCATATTGGGGACGCTTAAATTATCATATAAAATATGCTGCAAAAATTCTATTTGGCAACTTGCCATCAACCTATCAAAGCCTCGGTTTCCGGATTATGCGGAGCCCGCATGTAGTTTTTCTTAGCTCATTTAGGTCTTTTTATCTTAAATCACAGTGCATACTTATCTGCCATATGATTCTATGCCTTTGGATTTCCCTTCCATATTTTCTTCTTCTATCAAGATTAGCACCGATCATCAAGACCTTTCGTCATCAGCAACTAGATTATCCTTTTTTTTTCTGGTAACAATATGAGATCTAGCCAATTTTCTTCCTCTTCCTACGACTCAAATTGGACGCCTGAGCAGAACAAAATGTTTGAGAATGCTCTGGCAAAATATGATGCAGATGTTCCTGATCGATGGCAAAAAATAGCCAAGCTAGTTGGTGGGACAAACGAGCAGGAAGTGAAAAGGCAGTATGAAATCCTTCTAGATGACATCAAGCGCATTGAATCAGGCAAAGTACCCCTTCCTAAGTACAGGAGAAATGAAGGAAGCAGCAGGATCAACGGCATTAGCAATGAAGAGCAGAGGTAACATGTTTATATTTCTATTTACTGGTTTCAAAATTGCATTAATTTCACATATATTAATCTTCTGCTGCTTCAACTTTCTAGTCACTGAGGTGATGAAGCATCATCTCCCACTCCCCTTCCACAGGAATGAAATCCTAGATATATAACTAAGCTTAGATTTTAATCTAATCTGCACTTCAAGCTTATATTGTTTTGTACACACTATCAGAAAGCCAGAGCCTTTAGCAAAACATGTTTCTCATTCTCCATTTTCATCCTGATATGTAATATTTCACCCATACTGTGATTCATTCCAACTTGACAAAGTTGTAACAGTAGAGTTATCTATTGATGTTGTGCTAATTTTTTTAAAAAATTTTATTATTTTCAATTCTACAGACTGAAGCATCTAAAGCTCTAATGGTGAATGGTCAATGTAGCAGTAGAGGCTGCTAGCTATTCCCCGGAAAAGTTTATCAATTTGTTTAGCAATTAAAAGGCTGCCCATTTATCTTGCTTTACATTCTTTCTTCCTTTTTTGATGTAATGATCTTATCTGTGCCCACCTTCCATATATTGACACCATGAGAAATGATAAATCTAACTATCAACTTTTTCTCATGTCATACAAACTCATTTGATTTGTTCTTATTTTTTCCCACTGGGCCAACCCCGGCATACCAATCTTTCTCATCCAATATAGATAATCAAGTAATCTGTATTACCTTTCATTGCCTTGAAATTAACCTGAGATAGAGGATTATACATCTGGCTATCAAGAAGATCCAATCCATAACCTTCTCTCCTATGCCACTAAGAAATAAAAAAAGAGAGGAAAAAACAATGATATGACATTCCCCTAAAAGGCTTTCCGCACCTAACACTTACATCACAAAATAAAGCATGACAAAGACTTCTTATTTTCTTGCTAATCGCTACTATAGAAAGGGACAGAGAGAACTCTCAGCTTCATCAAGTTCAGGTCTTCGGAAAAAAAAAATCAACATGTTTGTATAGGCATTATAGCTCCCAAACTCCCGGTTGTCAAGCAGCTGTTTCCCACCAAAGATAAGTCATTAATCAGAACAACACGTAAAGAACAAAAGAATCTCTTCTTTTTTTTTTGTGTGTTTTTGTTTTTGAATTCATCTTGTTAAGCAAAGAACAAAAAATCAATAATGCTAGTAATAATTACCTTGCTAAGGGATTCTACGAAACAAACCATGTGTTCATCCATGGAAGCATGAATAAACCGCTTACAAAAGCTGTTCCTTATAGTAGCAACGATCCCTGCACCGTCATATTTCACCGTTCCACATGAAGAGATCGAACTGGAGCAGATTCAGATTCTAGGGCTTGCGTAGCGGATTGGTTTTTCTCGGACTCCATGTGGTCTAGCACCTAACAAGGAAAGGAAGGCTTTGAAATTAACGATAAGTCTGGCAAAAAAAGTGAGAAATCTCAAGCAAAAGACGGGCGATAATCTGACCCAAGATCGATGTGTAAAGGCTGAAGCAAGAGAGATAAATTGAGTTATATATAGTCTACGGTGTTTGATTCAAAGGCAGGTGCGAGAGTCGTTAGGGTAAAAAAATTCATTAAGCGACAACGTATTTGTTTACGACTTTACGGGAGACGACATCGTACGGTAGATATGGTTTCAAAGTTCAAACAATGGCTCCTTTTTTATCCTAAAGGTCAATTGAGGCACACGACACCGTACGGTTGATATGGTCCTGCAGAGGAAGAGACCGGGTGATTTTTGGAAGACAGCCTTCTGCTTGCGTCGGTAATCCTTATACTTTTTCCGAAGATTATGTTAGAATATCAAATTAAAAAATTTAAAAATTAATTTCAATGTGTGTATCAATATTATTATTTTTAAAATTTTATTCGTCTCGAAGATATAATGAAACTCAGTGATTGATGATGTTTTATATTGATAAAATTAATCCTCTGAGCACTCACCAGAGTATAACGAGATTATCAAACTTCTATAATATTTTTTCTATAAAAAAATAGTATAAAAGAAAACTTGAAAGATGTTTGAGGAAAAAAAATAAGAGATATTAGTGTTTTTTTTTTATTGGATAAGGAGACTCTTTTTTTATAGGCATAGATGTCTATTCTCAACAGACCCTATTTGTATCTGTTTCAAAGAATTATTCTTGTTGATTTTTTCTAACATACGTGATTTTTTTTTTAATTTATTAATTTAATTTTCAACTGACATAATTTTTTTAAATTTCTAACCGTTATAATTTTTTTTCTATTTCGATATGAAATCATATTTTTATTTGAAAATATCCAACAAATTAAAATCAAATGAACCGTGGCAAGTGAACTGTAGATGATGCGCAAAAAAATACGAACACCGTTTAGCGTGGTGTAGTTAAGTTTTAAGGCACAGCTTATCCAAGCAGCAGCGTTCCTAAGAAAGCGGAACCTGTAAGAGGAAAAAATGGCTGCTGGAGAATCATCTTTTAAGGTTCGTTTTTACTGTTTAAACCTCAATTCACCTTAAAAGCTCTGCAAAATTTCAAACGGAAATGGTAAATTTCCTTTATTTTCTATGCATTTTCTTGCTGTTCATTCTTATTCCGGATTGAGGCAAAAAAACTTAAATGAAAAACAGCACTTGGTTTTTCAGGGAATCAAAAGAATTGATGTTTTTCCAATGTAACAGAGCCCAACCTTAAAGTTTGTGAAAATCTTCAGCTTTGGAATTGGTTTGCATTGTTTGTACTTGAAAATTTGGACTGTCTCCTCCATACTCTCGACATAAATCATCTTTCGTTTCTTCATAGTCAATTACTATGGATATTTGATGACAGCTGATATTGGGTTCTTCATCAATGGCTCGGCAACGAATTCTAGCTGAGATGGGATATGAGTTTACAATCATGGTATGTTGTTAAGGTGCTGGTATATATACATCATTTTCAAGGGGACTTTAAAAGGGAAAAACAACTAAAAAAGAATTTGGCATACTTAAACAAGTGAGCCCTGATTCTAACTAAAAGACAAAAGTTCGGGTTTTTTAAGTACGATTTTTTAAATGTTTTTTTGGGTTTTTATTCATATTTCTCATTGGCTTAAAGAAGTCACCCTTAGTTTTCTAACTAAAATTGGGGTTTTAAGCATGAAATTTTTTATTTCTTTGAACTTTTCATCTAGTGAAGAATGCTATTGATGGGGTTTTATATAGTTTAGTAAAGGAGGAAGAGATTTAACTAAATATGTATTTAGACTGCAGATGCGGATGAGAAAAGTAACAGGAAAGAAAAGCCAGAAGGCCAGGTGACGGCTCTTGCTGAGGCAAAGGTATCTCACAAAGTGCACTTTTGCTCATGCTTTACTATTTTATTTTCACGTGAGCAATGCTTTATTTGAACTTGTCCTAACAGATGATCCTTTTATTAGTGGCAGAGGGCAGAGGGAGTAATGCTAAAGATCTATAGACGTAATTTATTGTGATAGTTTTCACCATTACGTCGACATTGCTTGTCATGTCATGATCTAAGAGTGTATCAACTTTTTTGTATGTCATACTCGGTTCTGTTTATATATAAAGAAGCATTACCCCAGCTTACCAATCTTTCTAATCCAATATAGATAATCAAGTAATCTGTATTACCTGTCATTGGCTTTAAATCAACTTTAATGTTACAGTTCATCAGGGAAGAATTGAGATAGAAGATTATGATTTTGGTTATCAAGAACAGAACAAAATCATAAGTACATATGAAAAGATAAAATTACTTATTATTAAAACAGTGTTTTGACATCAAAAAGCTATAGATCCATAACCTTCTCTCTTATGCCACTAAGAAATAAAAGAAAAAACAATGACATGACATTCCCCTAAAAAGCTTTTGCACCTAACTTTATCTCAAAATAAAGCATGACAAAGACTACTTATTATCTTGCTAATTGCTACTATACAAAGGGACACAGAGAACTCTCAGCTTCATGAAGCCCAGCCCCTCGGGAAAAAAATCAACATGTTTGTATAGGCAGTATAGCTCCCAAACTCCCTGTTGTCAAGCAGCTGTTTCCCACCAAAGATAAGGCATTAATCAGAAAAACACGTAAAGAACAAAAGAATCTCTTTTTTTCTTTTTTGGTTTTTCGAATTCATCTTGTTAAGCAAAGA